CTCAACCACCCCGGGCTAAAGCGACCTCGGGACGAGATTGCCTCAGTACTAGATCACAACAAGAACACCTCGATGCTAAGGCACTTCGGCACTCAACCCAGTTTGAGACTTAAAGATATCAGCTCGGGGATACCGACATACCACTACGTGGTGATCCCGAGAACTCCTCCAACAGATCCGGGCCTTACGGGATCACACCGCGTAACAACTAGCATTATCACCCCAACCGATTTGGGCAGAACTGATGAACCTTATCATTGGCAACGTTATCTTCCAACTAACGCGGAAACAGATCCTATCATGACGATGATCCCGGAACCGATCCGCAAAACCCGCGAGGACTCAACTATATAAAGGCTCCACCCCCGGTGGTTCAAGGTACGCGTGATTTCATTGCTCTCTAGCTCTCTACATTCTAAAGCTTTTCAGCTCGCAACCAAGTATACCAACTTAAGCATCAGAGCGACCTCGCCTGACTACAACCCCAGGTTCTCTGATTCTTCCTTTGCAGATCAATCTAGTTTGCCATTTACTGGAAGCCAAATCACCTCCAGCAGGGAGCAGTCAGATCGCGCATCATCATTTGGCGTCGTCTGTGGGAAATCGCTACAAAAGGCCTCTTTGCACCAACAATCACAAACTCAGATCCATGGCATCCTCCAGCAACGCCGGACAAGACAACGAGATGAATGTCTTCGGTGGTCAGCCTCAGTATCCTTCTATTTGCATCGACCAGTTCGCCATCCCGCTCACTGCGGTTGGGGTCCCGACCCTGATCGTGCCCCAAGCAACCATGCCAATGAACGCCCCACTCCCTCCTGTAGTGGGCGCGACATTTGCTAAACCATCTGTGGTTCCCCCTGGAGTCGGACAGTATCAACTTGATGACCTGGTACACTGTGTGCGGGCTATTCAAGCCCAAATGCAGCAGGTCCAACAGTTTTAGCACTACCAGCAACAGGTCCGGCACCATTTCTACCAGCAACAGTACCAGTAGCAGTTCCCTCCGCTGCAGCAGAATCAGTAGCCAGTTCCACCCAGACACCCAACAGCGTAGCAAAATCAACCTCGTCGCTGTCAGCAGAATCGCTCTCCCCGCAGAGGCGAGACATCCCAAGTCCCTCTTCCTCTAGGGAGTCTGGTCTCATCCCGTAGTAGGAGAGACAGACAAGTCACCCCTCCCGCTTCTCAAGGAAACATGAATAGATCGGGAGACACTTAGCCCACCAGGGCCGCATTACCTTGGCCTTCCCATCAAGAGGGCTCGCTCCTAGGAAATCAGTTCGCGCCCCTGGCTGCGGACTCGAAGCAAGGCCCATCTGTTCACGAAAAACAGCCCCAACACCCGGAGCCACTTCGCGCCAGAACGGTCCCCGATCGTACAAAAGTCTGCAGTACTAATGCAGAACCATTCAAGAAACGGTAGCAAAAGCGTCGCAAGGCACGACGAGATACAACACATAGTCAGCCCGCTGAGCCCAGCCAACAAGAACATGTGAAGGGCAAAGAGGAGGCAAGCTCGGCAGTAACAAAGACCATCCCTCTCTTATTTGGGTCTTCCCCTCTATCCTCTGAGCTCCTGGCGACCTCAATGCCAAAGGACTTCAAAATGCCTCCGCTGGACAAATATGATGGATCATTCAATCCAAACGACCACGTGGACTCCTTCCAATCCCAGGTGCACTTAGCCGGAGCGGATGAGTCCTGTATGTGCGTAGCCTTCTCCACAACATTCAAAGGGGTAGCTCGCACCTGGTACAGAAACCTCGCGCCAAGGACGATCAAAAGCTGGGCGCAATTCGTGCAGATGTTCACCTCGCACTTCATCACTAGCAAGAAGTGCCCGAGGTCTCAAGAGAGCCTCCTCAGCATAGTCCAAAGAGAAGGGGAATCGATCCGAAGTTACATAAAATGCTTCAACGACATCTGTTTACAGATCCCCGACCTGGATTCCGCTGTAAGACTCACGACAGCAAAGAGAGGAATTACTCACAGAGAATTCAAGTGGCACGTGGTGGCCAACAAGCCCAAGGACATCACTGAATTCCTCAAGCTCGCCAACCAGTTTCGAGACAGAATAGGAGATGAACTAGAAGAGCGAAAATCCAGCGGAGAAGAGAAAGAGAGAAGGTGACAACTCGAATAACGATGGCAGTAAACAAAGAAAAAGCAAGCCCTCGACCAAGGGAGGAAACAAGTCCGGGAGCCTTATGGCGTTCCCGAACTCCACCGGTCGAAAAGGACGAGCTACACACCTCTCAACGGAAAGCGAGGAGAAATCCTTATGGCAATCAAGGACTCCTCCTACGTCAAGTGGCCACCTCAGTTGAGGGGGGACCCCGCCACTAGAAATAGGAATGTATATTGTCACTTTCACAAAGATCATGGTCATAGTACCGAAAATTGTAGAAACCTCCGCGATGAGATTGAAGAGCTCATCCATTGCAGATATCTAAAAAATTTTATACATAAAGAAAATAAAAACCAAGCAGATCGACAGGGGAAGCAAAGAAGATATGCTTCCGAGTCTAGTAGCAGGCAGAATGATCGGCCACAGAGGCAATTACTAGAAGAAAGGCCGATCTGCGGAGTAATCAACATGATTACTGGCGGGTCCATTATCGCGGGTTGCACTTTGGCAGCAAGTAAAGCTTCGGTTCGCAAACTAGAGCACGAAGAGCAGAATCCACCAAAGCGACCCAGGCTCGAAGAACCCATTTACTTCATAGAATACGATGCACGGGGGATCCAGTACCCCCATGACGATGCCCTGGTGATAAAGATGAGACTGAATGACTTCAAAGTGAAGTGCGTCCTAGTGGATTCGGGCAGTTCGGCCGATATTTTGTTCAAGGATGTCTTTGACAGGCTCAATCTCCAAGAAAGCGATCTCAAGCCAACGGGTACTCCCTTGGTAGGTTTCAGCGGCATAGAGGTCAGGCCTCTAGGGCGAGTCTCAGTACCCGTAGAGGTCAGCACGTGGCCCAACATTGCCAGATTCGAGCACACATTCCTAGTGGTCGCGACTCCCTTCCCTTACAACGCCATAGTAGGTCAGCCCATTGCCCACGCACTACGAGCAGTAGTGTCCACCTACTACTTGGCCATGAAGTTCCCTACGGATTATGGAGTAGGGGTTGTGCGAGGTGACCAACTCAAGTCTTGCAAGTGCTATGTTTCCGCCCTCAAGGGGAAAGCCAAGCTAGCGGATGACGTTGAACTCGAGCGACCTACGGAGTACGTCGAGGAGTGAGCTACACCAATGGAAGAGATGATCCATATCTCAGTCTCAGCAAATGATCCAGCTAAGACTCTCCAGATCGGTGCTTCAATCGAGGAACCATTTCGTTCTCAGCTGGTAAGCTTTTTAATTAATAATTTAGATGTATTTGCATGGTCCACGGTAGAAATGCCTGGCATAGATTAAAAAATAATGACTCACAAGCTAAACACTGATCCCTTAGTCAGACTAGTTAGACAGAAGAAATGCAACCTCGCCCTAGAGCGTTGGAGGATAGTTAACGAGGAGGTCGGAAAACTCCTTGCGGCCGATTTCATAAGGGAGGCCCATTACCCGAGCTGGGTAGCCAACCTAGTCCTGGTAAAAAAGGCCAACGGTAAATGGCGCATGTGCGTCGATTATACCGACCTAAATCGGGCTTGCCCAAAGGACTGTTTTCCGTTGCCTAAGATCGACCGTTTAGTGGATGCGACCTCAGGGCACGAGTTGCTAAGCTTCTTGGATGCATACTCGGGATACAACCAAATCAAGATGGACCCTGCCGGTGAAGAAAAGACTGCATTCATAACCGAGCTTGGACTATATTGCTATAAGGTAAATGCCCTTTGGGCTAAAGAATGCCGGGGCAACCTTCCAAAGACTTGTAAACAGAATCTTTGAGCCGTTGATCGGTAATAAAGTTGAATGTTATGTAGATGATATGGTCATAATGACAGTTTTCAAAATCTTTATTAACCGATTTACAAAGCGTTTTTGAAATTTTGCGTAAGTATAACATGAAGTTAAATCCTAACAAATGCATCTTCGGTGTCACCTCGGGTAAATTCCTAGGTTACATAGTCAATCGACGCAGAATCAAAGTCAATCCCGAGAAAATAAGAGCCATCTTAGACATGAGACCACCTCGCAAGCTGAAGGAGGTTCAGAGACTGAACGGCAGAATAGCCGCTCTGAGCCACTTAATGTTTAAGTCAACAAATCGTTGTTTGCCTTTTTTTAAAGCTATAAAAAAAAGCAAAGATTTCAAATGGACCACAGAATGTCATATCGCCTTTGACGAGCTGAAAAAATACCTAATTAGGTATAGATTAATGAGAGTGGTCCAAGAGATGATAATTGGGACATTGTTGGCACCCTGTGTATTAATAGTTGATTCAAACTTGGGGCCTATATCATACTTTTTCGATAGTGGATACCATACCAATTCGATCTCCTACCCACACCTACCCACATGACAGATATTAACATCTCGGATGAATGATAACATGCAAATAGGAGAGATGTTCTGAATGTGCAGCTGTATTGAGGCATGGGTAGGAGATCCGAACTGATACCATACTGCCATACTCGGTCTACATCTTTCAACTGGGTAAGGGATACGTGGCTTGCAAAGATGGTTCCTTTCTTATGATGAACGGTCCTGATTTACAGACAGATCAAAGTAGGGTCCGCCGTGCAGGACACAGATACGGATGAGATATTATTATCTGGGGACTGGGGTGAGTCATAATTCTATTGCCAACACTCTCGTCTAACTTGTCATGAGCAATGTGTCGTGTTAATCACTGATTGGCTCCATAATCCAGATAATAAATATTTATAGACTTTTTTCCATATTCAACCAAGGGATGATAAACACGTAGGTGACATCCAATGAGAGCGCTCTCGTTGGATCCACTTATTTGGTAAGAAGCGTTGATAAGTCAACAACGTGGCGTCACGACGACCAGCTGGGCGTAGTTAGCACCCTGCTTAAGTTTATGAGCATGTGAATATCTTAATATTGTCTGAACACTGAACCTCACACGGCGGTTTAAAGATTCTTCTGAAAGAGTTCTTCGTTTCTTGTTGCAGAAAATGACGTCCAAGCATTCCCAAACTACCATCTGCAAGGAACTATAACTTCTTTTGTTTCCTTTCCATCTTTTTATTGTTTTCGTCACAGATATCGCAGTTCTGAATCCGTTCTTGTTTCCTGCTCATCGTAATCGTAAGCTCTCTCTCTCTCTCATGCCTTTTCTTTTGTTTTTGCATCTTTTTCATCGTATGTTTATGCTCCTTGCTTCTTTCTGCAAATTTGATTGGGTTTTTTCCCTCAATTAGATGTTTGTTTCTGTTCACGCGAGTGAATCGGGTTATTAGAAATTTACGTACTGTTGTATAACTTTTGATGATATTTGGCAAATGGGTGGCCTTGGATCAAAGAAGTGGATTGAGATTATGTTTTCAGAATTTAATACTGTAATTGTGAATCCGTACTGGAATTATTGATGGGATGTGTACATTACACAACTCAGATTAGGTTGGAAATTTGAGTGAATTCTTATTAGCGAATTAGGAAGTTGGAGTTATTAATTTTGCATGAGTTTTTTTTTTTTTCCTAATTTAGGGATATCTATCATTCATATTGTTAGGTACTTATTGTTGTGAATTAGAAGGTGTTAAACTATGAGCAATTAGAGTTAAGTACATAGGTTTGTTGTTTGATTTATTCCTAAATTATGTTGTTTACTTATATTTGGCATCGGATGTTATTTATACTTGCTAACTTAGCTCTTCGGCTCTTTTGATTTCTTTGTTCTAGGTGATTTTGGCTAGATTTTCTAATTAAGCTAGTATGACTGAATATGCCAATGCATGCGGAAGTTCTAGCTCCAGTTTTAATAGCAGCCTGCAAGATACAGAGGATGATAGAACTATAGCCACGATCTTAGCAGAAGAAACCTTAAAAGTGGATGGCAGGCTTGGGAAGCGGCTGTCTCATCTGGACTCTATCCCAGTAAAACCCTCACTCTGAAATATTAAATGCATTATGTCATGTTTCACATACAATGGCATTAAGCAACTCTGCATAGGTTTGCGACTTTCTTGATATTTCTAGATGCCTCTTTAGCAAAATTTCTGACATCCCTATAGCATAAAAGTTTATATGCATCAGTGAATTTCTAATTTTTCTTAAGTACCAATAAGTCTGTTATTATTTTTTGTACTATCACCATTGTGCTTTTCTTGGCAAAATTATCAGGAATTTCATTTATTTTGGAATGATTAAATACTATTAGGAGTAAACTTAGATACTTAACTTAGTTATGATATACTGAATGCTAACACATTTTACCTTCATGTTGGTTGTATTCATAAAATTAATTTTGTTTTCAATTTTGGAAAATGAGTGGTATCCTGTTTCATGTGTCAGGGTTGCCTTTCCTATGTTATTAAACATATTTGGTTATGTTACTCTTCAATATCTAGCAAAGTCCAAGCTTCATGCATATCTTGTCTTATGTGCTAATATTTGACTAATGATGTTGAATATTTTCCAAGTAAGTATTCTATAGAAATGAACCATTGGTAGAACAAGTTTCTTTTCGGTTTATCCCCCTCAGGTTTGCTTATTTCTGTGGAATCATAATTTTACCAATGGAAAAATGAGAGAGGGCCACACTGGCTGATGTAGGACCAACTGATTTCATACTTTCATACCAAATGATGTTGGACTGTTATGACCCAAGAGTGAGTCTAGGAAGTTACTAATTAACTAGAATTGGGTTTAGGGATGGTTTTATTGAAGGTAGAAATAAGTTGGGTTAGGAAGGGTCTCGGGGCTCAACTACAAGAATTGCAGGTTTGTTTCAAAATTGTGAAAGGTTATGAATAGAGGAAAATAAATGTAGGTTTGGAAATATTCAATGATTCAATCTAATTTTGAAGGTATTTTGGAAGGGATAATTGTTCCAAAACTCCAAATATGAGAGCAATAAAAGATGGATTGGCACAAAAGGGAAGAAATAGTTGAAACAAGAAAAGTTTGGGTTATAGTGTAAACTAAAGAAAAACATACATGGATCAGTTTCAGTCCTTTGGCATTGTTGAATGAGCTCCTTTGATGAACTTGTCAGGCTATTAATGAATGTAATATCTACCAGTAGAATTTTGGAGTAAACAGAGAAAAGAGAAAGAGATAACCTAATATTACCCAACAGGGGCATAAAATCAGTCTAGGGTTTATGGGAATTGCTCACCATAAGCAAAATATGTAAAAATTCACTACAATATCAATAATAAATTATTAACCATGCTTGATTGTAAAATATATTATAAGTCTGGAATTGGGAGAAATGGAAATTGTAGAATTGTCAACATCATATTTTGAACAAAAGAAAATTTAATTAACTCCCTAAACAACTATTCGCCCCAAGAGTTGCACTACCAATTTCAAGTTTCTAATCTGATTCAAATCATTGCTTTCATAGAGTAGTATGGTGTCATTTGCAAATTGCAAATGGGTAATCGACACTATATCCCTCCCACTCTCCACCCTTGTACTAACTATCTCGAATCTGCCTTTAGGATTAGTCTACTCAGAACATCAGAATTAGAGTAAACAAGAAGGAGCAGGGTGTGGACACAACCCCACACCCAATTATACCACCTCTCCCCAAACCCACAATGAGCCATTACCTCCAACATAAATGACCAATCCACCAAATCATAGGCTTTCTCCAAATCCAGTTTGCATATTGACTCTTTTCTTCTGGATCTTTTCAAATATTCCAGACATTCATTTGCAATCAAGCTTTGATCAATAATTTGTTTTTCTTGCACAAAAGCCCCTTGATTAGACGATATGATTGAAGGGAGGACTTTTTTAATCCTCATAGACAACATCTTAGCTATTATTTTGTAAAGACTATTCACCAAAGTACCAAACAGATAGGCCTAAAATCCTTTGGGTGTACAACTTCATTCCTCTTCAAAACCAAGGAAATAAAGGTGGAATTCAAACTTGGATTTGTTACCCCCTCTCAAAAAATTTATTGAACACCTCCACAAGCTCTCCTTTTAGAATATCCCAACAGCTCTGGTAGAAAGCCATGGTAAAACCATCTGGCCATGTAGAAAATTACTTCCTTGATTTCTTCCAACTCTAAAGTCTTTCTAACGAAGCCTTTGTATCATCAAATAAGCAAGGTGAGTCCAACCCTTTAATCCACACTCTATCTACTTGGGGCCTTCTAAAAATAGATTTGAAATGGTCCACAAAAGCCCCTGCAATCTCTCTTGTATCAGTGAGAACCCTATCCTCAATCTCCAATCTAGACACAAAGTTCTTGCTTCTTCTTCTATTAGCTAAGGCATGGAAGAATTTTGTATTCCTACCTATGAAACTTCATTCCTTCCATTTAACTCTAGGCCTGCTTCTTTCCCACCACTTTTATACTTTCTGAATGTATCCAAGATGATGACATAGCCACATATTTTCAAGTACAAAAGGAGCAGGTTCCAAACGATTAATCTCCTCCTTAAATATGGTGATTGGCCAATGGTTAGTGGCCACTCTAGGTAAATCTCTTGAAACCAACCCACCAACCCACTCCAGTGCTCCTCCCATTCCAAGAAAAAAATAAATCTATCTAGCTTGGAGCAAATTGGGTTGAGCTGGAGGTTAGACCACATGAAGCTGTGATATAATAGCAGAGACAATTTCTTATGTTCAAAGACAACCTGAATACCTGATTAAATTTTTCCATGCTAGTAGTGATTAATTCCTTGCTTGAAACCCCTTGCTGATTTCTGTATTCCCCTCCACACTAAACATCCATATGGTAAATTGGATTGCCCCGGCTCTCAGTTTGAGCTTCTTGTCCCATACTTCACCATTATTATTCTTTTCTGCTGCATTATGGGCTGTTCATTCCATCTCCAGTATCGCTTATCTAAGGACGCCACATAAAATTTTCTGATTTTTCCTATCCCTAAACCCTCTTTCTTTCTTGGCCTGTAAACTTTGTTCTGCTTGACTAAATGAAACTTGAACTCCTCTTTCCACCTCCGCCACAAAAAGTCTCTCATTCATTTCTTTTTCAAAATCTTGGTTACACTAGATGGGTTGGGGAAGAGAGACAATAAATAGGTAGGAAGTGAGGACAATGCACTTTTGTTCAGTCTTAGTTTTCCACCCTTTGACAAGTATCTTGATTAATGTTAGGAAGTCAGGCTACACTAACAGTCTTACAATTTCTCTGTTACATTTGAATTTTGGTTATTTACTATATATATATATATATAACTGCTGGATATTTTAGGAGATTAATTTCTTTTATTTGTTTTGTTTTTTCTACAATCCATGCTTTGGACTCATTATAATCCTTGGCTTTATTTGCAGCACACTCCTCGAGTTAATGGGGCAATTCCAAATGTAGATGATGCCACCTTAGATCATGAACGACTATCAGAAAGGTTGCAATTTTCATCACAAAAACTTGACATATACATTATTCTTGTTAATCTTTCTTGTCTAGATTAGGTAAAGGACCTTTTCTTGCCTGGTTTTTCTCTTCTTTGTATACATTATTCTTGTTAACCTTTTCTGTGTAAATTAGATAGAGGACTTCTTTCTTTGCTTTTTTTTTGTTTTTTACTTCATTGTTTTTGTTTATTATTTCTTTCATACTATCATTTGTTTTAATTTTTCATTGATCTTTGACATGCTGTTGTCATGAGATCTATTTGTTTTTGGTATAGATTTCCAAAATATTGATGCATCTACCATGCCTATGATACATTTGCAGAATTTTATGTATTTAAATCTGTAAAATATGCCTCTAAGACTCCTTGGAATGATCTCAAAGGTATCATCATCATTATGATTTAGGACAGTTGATGACACTTTAGTATAGCTAAAGCCTCAAGTAGAAAGCCTTATGTGCTGATTTTGGCCAAGCTTCTTGTGAAAGGAAGAGGAGAAAGTTGGGGGTTTCAGCAATAGACAGAGGAAAGGAAAGAAAAGGAGAAGAAGGTCGACTAGGATAGTGATGCATAACCCTAGCCGCYAGCCCCTCATTCTRTTTATAATTAACTTAAATATGGGATATTACAAAGATGCCCCTAGTAGGGCGGCAACTCAACTAAGTACTTACAATTCTTTTAAAAATAAAAGACTAATGGG